CACCGGGTGGCCCTAGGTCTTTTTTTTTCTTCAAATCAAATTAGGTAGAGAAAAGATAACTTTTTGTGTGCCATTGCGACCTTTCTGGAATGTCCATATAAACAACCTCACATGTCTTTTGATTGGCGTTTATATGCGTCTAAGGAAATGATGTCATTGAAAACTAGTCCCGGTCATGGTCCTTACTCTTAACTTCATTCGCCGTGTAACAATATAAGCTCATATGGATTTTTGTTTAAACTAGTCCCGTCATTCTCCTTACTCTTCTTTTCCCGCTATACTGTTAACTTCATTGGCCGTGCAACTATATGAGCTTATAAAGGTCATGTAGATTTTTCTTTAAGCTGGCCGCCGTCATCGTCCTTACTCTTAGCCATAGTATCAAAAAAACCATAGTGTTACAACATATAGGCATGAAATATCATCACGATATACAAGTACTAGACTATTCTGCAGTTGAGTATTTTTCTTGTGCGTTGAACTAACCAACCATTTGGAAGAGTACTTCAGTTTGGACAAATATGCGTGATGGTGTACACAATTCGGCTTAGCTAATCTATATCTTGTACATATAAAGATTTTAACAGATATGTCGTTTGTTTGCATCTCCTCGCTAGATATACACAACGCACAAAGACCTACAAAGATGCGACAAAACACAAAACTAATGAGCTAGAAAGCTAACCAAAGTTGTTATATGTATGTGTGTATGAGAAGGCTAATCAAAGTTGTTATAGGTATGTATGAGAACAACACTTTGTATCCAAATGGAGCCTCTCATTCATTTTTGGTCGATGGCCCAGTCGTGGGGAGAAAGAGGATACAACCATCAATTACTCATGTTCTGCTTCCGGGTGGTCGTTGCGGTGGCGATTCTCCTGCTCCTGCTCCTGCTCCTGCTCCTGCTCCTGCTCCGTCACGGGCGGGGACAGCCGCAGCGAGGAGACGGGCAGGAGGTGCGGCAGCAGCAACGGTGCGGCAGAGGACGACGAGGCTTGAGAAGGCGAGCTCGTCGTCGTCGTCGTCTCGCCGTGGCAGCCGGCTCCGTCGATCTCATCCTCACCGAGCGCGACCTCGAGGTGCCGCTTCCTGGGCTCCATCTGGTTCCTGGCACATATATATTCAGTTAATCACACACGCACGACGAGATGAATGAAAGAAACAACGGAATTCTTGCAGAGATTGAGATGCTTGCCACCCAACAGTAATAACGTACTTGAAGGCGAGGAAGACGAGGCACTGCGCCCTCATCTGCCTCAGCTGCGGCGCCGTCAAGGCCGCGGCACCTGCAGGGCGGGCCGACGACCAAGGAAGCATCCCTGCTCGGCCGTGCGCGGTGTTGTTCATGTTGTGAGTTCTTCACTATGCTTGCCTAGTTATCCTCCCCTCCTTGGATCTGCAACTGGAGAAGACTACAAGATCGATCGCTGAATGAATCGGCACGATTTGCTTTGCCGGGACAGTGACATGAGAATGCAGCCAAAAGGAAAAGGCCAAACCAGCGAACCTGAATAGGCTTCTTCATTGCGTGCAGCATAAGGAGTTACATCAGCAGCAATGCAATGCAAATATATTGAGCGCCAAGTGCAGACAGGACAGGATATGGTTCATTACATAATCAACCAACAGATAAGCACCAAGTTAGTTGACAGCCTCCAACAAGCAATCAGACCATATATAGAAAATACAAATAAATACGAGAGATCCGCCGAATATTATAAAGCAACAGCAAATCTTCAGATTAATTTGCAAGAATTCAAGGTGCATAATCGGCATCATAACAGGTACCGAATGATAATTGGAACTTGATCCAGGTTTGGTAGCATGAAGGTGCAACCAACACCCCGGAGCATAAGTTATAGGAACAATTAAGTTGGATATATATGAAAACACCTGCTTCCTGGGCCATGTCAACACCTTGCAATCTGCTCTGCTTTGCTTTCGGGACATGGCAGACTCTATCCTCGGTACCAACTCCTTCAACTCGTCCAGGTTTCCAGCAATTTCATCAGACTTTGCTGCAGCGACTTAATACCACATCTGTTTCCCTCTAAATGGTCCTGCGATCATTCATTCGAAAGCAAGGATTCAGAAATGAGAAAAAATGTATGAAAGGGATTCATTTGTGATCATTCATGCATTTTCTGCAGCGGTCAACTTTGTTGGTGCTGATCCACATGCTAGATCAAACAGGATGCCATGCATTTAGCCCCTGACTACTACAACATCACACGCGTGGACCGAAAAAAGTGGATCAACAAGAATCCAGTGGAATTTGAAAGTAGCGTGTTCATGCTTGGATGCAAATATTCTCTAGATCCCTAGAAGGTAACTCAAAGAAATCAGATCGATATGCAGCAGGCAAATAGTATAAACCTTACAAAAAGGATCGAGCCACTCCATGTCTCCATCTAGCTAGCTGCTAGCACATCCTAGGCAAGCCCCTCCCACCCAAGGTCTTGACCGCAGCAGTCCTGGACAGCAGCTTGATCTGGCCCCTCATCCGCCCCCAGGCCCTCATCCACCACGGGTCAAGCCTCAGCCTCCTTCTCCCCGTCCATTGCGACCCGCCTACACGGGTTCTGGAACCCGAGCGGCCGCTGCGACGACGGCGCTTGCACGGCAGTTCCCTGGTGAGGTCCGTCGGTTCTTCACCGGTAGGTCCTTCCACGCCTCCAGGGTCAGATTGTCGTGGTTCTGGTGCCGACACAGCGTCATCCACTCCTGGGTGGTAAGCGTGGCGTGGAACTGCATGCACAAGATTACACTGTTACATTGAAGACTAAGTGACTTTGGGATGAGAATGGTTGGATGTGTTGATTGAAAAGCTTTGTATTGTGATTGAGATTTACGAAAAAATGCAGGCAACTTATGAATAGACAACCCAAGGTCAAATCCAGCAATTAAGTACTCACAAAATTCAGCAAAGTTCTGCAAACAACTTCTTTGTTAATGATAGTTGTAAAGTTAAGCTTGGTCATGCAGCAGCCAGGGCAACTGTGTAGTGTTCTATAGTATGTGTGTTGCCCTGCTTCAAAGGAAGGGCATGGATGAGACGGAAGCACAGACATAAAGGAGAGGAAGGTGATTAAAGAAAATAAATAGCATTGGCACATAGTAGAAAGCACCAACAGCGATCTGCCAGAGGCTCCTAGGTTGTAGGTTCAATTGCACCAGTAGACTAAACAAAGGCTTAGTTGTAAAATTATCGGAGTTCAGTACCAAAAAGGAATCGATTTGATAGACTAATGAAACATGAATCAAAGAAGTGTACTGCAAACAGGGAGAAAAGTAAAAGGTTGTGTCTACATGTAGCCAAACAAAGTTGGATTTTCGACAGGCATGGCAAAAGAAAGTAACTTACTATAGGAGATAGATGAATCTGTTTTCGTGGCTGGAAATTTAGTAACTTACTATAGGAGATAGATCTCATGTGAAGGAGAACAGGAGATAGATATAGGTGTGAACTGAAAACAATTTGGTATTCGAAAGAAACAAAAAATGGTGTGCAGAAAAAATGCCAAAATTCAGATCCATAGCGAGTAATTCTCTGAGATAAGTGCATTAATTCAGACAGCAAAGTTCCGCAGATTGGATGGGTTGACTTGATGGTCGCAGGTTGGATGGATTCACTTGATGGCTTTGGAAAGGGCTTCACTTATGCAGGACAGGATGACAGGATTGTAGCAGGGATAGAGCAGAAAAGTGCAGTGTGGCCAAGTGAAGGGGTTTTCAGATGTAATGGACCAAAAGCGCACAATGAACATCACAACAAGGGTTAAAGGCATGGCAGAAGATATTGTTCCATATGTACCATAACACAAAGTACTACATCCCATGATAGTACTAGCAACCTCTATTTAGTTTCTCTGGAAAAGCCCTCATTAAAAATATATGATTGAGAGAAGTGGTATTAATAGATTTTTCATGAAAAATATTTATAATTTTCGCTAATATAATCATATAAGAATCCACTATTATAGTCACTTTGGTAAAAAGTAAGAGAGGATTCAGTATAAAACAGGTTTTGTTGGTCAGTAAATAGTGCTCATCGGGTAGTTTGAACTGTAGCTGTTGGATTATCTCCAAGCACTCCAGATGAAGAGAGGTGACGCAAAGCAATAAGTGGAAGTCAGGGACGAGTTCAGTTAGTGACTTGAGCCCTTAGATCTCCAGCGGATGGCCAGATGTGCATGATACCATTCGGGGCCTGACATATGTTTTAGGAAGACAAGACGAAAGGATAAGACAGGGATTAAGCAAACGACTATTGTGGCCTATTGACAAGGTTTCCAAATCTGATGGACCAAAAGCTAGTGCACAATGCTCACTACAAAAAAGGGTTAATGGCATGGCAAAAAAAATTCTCAACTCCAACCACGACGCAAACTACAACATAATCAATATGCCCATCATTAGCATCCCATGAAAGTAATACCAATCTCTATTCAGTCAGTGTCTGCAAAATTCTTGCTAAAAAAGATGCATTGTGAGGTGCAATAAAGATTATCGTGACCAGACAAATGCAAATAATATTATTGGATTCATCACGCAAAATATCTTGCAATACTATATTTCATTTAAAGCTTTAGTATCATACGGAGTATTTATTCAGACAATGAATTAACTTTCCCATCAGAGACCAAATAAGAAATTCTTGCCTCTTACTATCTTAAGGTAATTTTTATATGAAATTGAGATAAATTTATAGGTGTGGCGGTGACCAAATAAGACTTCGAGATAGCATAAGTCCTGCTTGACTGGAATAAATGTTTCTAAGATAAAACAACACAAAGATGAACTGGTAGCAATGTCCTGATTTAAACTTCTGTCCGTTCTCCATTATCTTGGACATAAAAACTGAAACAATTGTTGTGATCCAGTGTTTTTTACGATTTTTCAATACCCCTAAAATGCTACTTATTGTGTGTTAGATCCTCCCGTTCACCTGTCTAATTACCTTAGGATGGCAAATAGAGAAGGCAACCAAATTAATTAGCTTGGACAGCTTTGCCACAAGCACAAAAAAAAGCAACAACCACTAAACTATGTAACTAATAATTACTGATCACATTAACGAACTAGAAAGTATCAGAAAAGCTATGTGATAGTTATAACTATAAATGAAAGGAGGTAACTATCATGCAACAGAAGGTTTTACCACTTGACACTGTCGGTGATGATAATAACGATGGTGGGAAGTTGCAATATGCTTCTGACTGGTGGGGACATGAATCACACACCCTCTCAAGCTGGAGTGTGTTGACATCCTGCGTGTAACAACCTGTCTTGACCGATGAGATCATGCCATAATGTAGGAGCAAGTGCCTCCCCACTGCACCTATCATAAAGGACCCAGAATCCAGCGAAAATGCCTCATTCTCCATCTGCCACTGGGTGGAACTCCAACCATTGTTTCGCCAAACAGTATAAACACGCCGAGATGTGTCAGGTTTAGGAACAAACATCACAGTCACGCCTTGGCCTGCCTCCACGATGGCTACATCACCCCTCAAAACTCTGACACATGGTGGGTGGTCAGGCATGGAGAACTCCATCCTCCGGATGTCAAGCACGAGCAACTTTTCACTCAAACCTGAAATCCAGTAGAAGCAGCCATGCGCGTAATGGCGCGACACGGACAAAAGCGTCCATGTAGACAAGACAAAGCCAGGTAAGCTGCAAGTCAGGGATGTAATGGCTCGCCATTGCCCTGTGGAGGAAGAGAAGGCAAGGACCACCCGTGTAGTTTGGAGCAGCACCAGCCAGAAAACTCTGAATGAAGTCTCCTCCTCCATAGCTTCTGCCTCCTCCTCGTCGCCGGAAGGGGCGAGGAAGCAGTCGGCGAAGCAATCCCTTTCTATCAGGATTTGGCACACAGCCGGAGCGGCTAGGTCATCGGGGATTGGGGGGAGCAGGAGGTACCGCCGGTGCAGGGGGTCGCACACCACCATCTCCTTGAAGAGGGGTCCGAGCTCGTCGTGACGGCAGGGTCTGTCGAGGAGGACGCGGCCGTCGCGGACTTCCCGCACGGTCCAGCCCCAGTAGGGGGGCGGGAGGAAGGTGAAGTCGAAGTCTGCGGCCCTTGCGACGGCGCTGGCTGCCGGCGCGGAGGGGTGAGGCGGTACGGCGGGGTGGAATCCTTTGTAGTCGAGGAAGCCGAGGAGGGGCGCGGGGTGGAGCTTGCGGAAGCGCCGGAGGAAGGCGCGGTCGGCGACGAGGCGGCGGAAGGAGACGCAGGCGGCGGAGGCGCGGATGAGGTCCTCTGGGGTGGGAAGGCGGAGGAGGATTTCTACCAGGAGCTCGTCGGGGATAGCCGGCAAGGCCATCTTCCGGCGTCGGTGCGGGCTGCGGGCGGCGGCGGCGGCGGCGGCAGTGGGAGTTCGCACTAGGCTGTGTGTGCGCGCTGCTGCGGAGTGCGAAATGAGCCGACGACATAAAAATGGGCTACGTTCGGCTGAAAGTGCTGTGCGTCAAAACGATGCCTAGCCTAGCCTACAAGCGATTTTCTCAAACTAATCGGTTGCAGTAAAAAATGGTTTTAACATCTAAGAAAAAGGAATTTACCAAAACCAAAATCTAAGAAATAGGAATTTAAGAACACTAGAATTTTTTAAATAGAACGAATTATAAAAATATGTTCACAAATTTTTAAACAATGTTCAATAATTTTGGGAAATCTCATGTCATTCAAATGTTCTCTAGTTTAGAAATAGTTTGCAAAAAAAAACTAAAAATATCATGTTTTCAAAAGTTGTCCTCAAATTTGAAAAATATTCCTGAATTCTAAATATATTCATGCATTTTTATAAAATAATCTTTATTTTTAAAAGATGTAAGCTAGTTTTCCAAATAAAGAAAAAAAATATAAATAGGGAAATGAATAAATAGAGAGAAAAACATGAGGAAAAGCGGTGGAAGAAAAGAAACAAAAAGAAAAACACTCAACACAAATAACAAAAAATACAATAAAAACCACAACCAAACAGTTGGAAAAATCAATTGGGAGAAATCGCTCTTGTTCCTTGCCTCCTATTGGGGATGACCAAGCTATTTTTGCACTATGCAGATCACCGACAATTTAAAACATCAAGTAGGAAACTGAGACGACCAAAAACATGTATGAGGAGAAAGAAGACAAGTGTAATGCTCGCTTGGGCTAGCTGGCAGGTCAGCCTAGTTGGCCTCGGTCCATTTAGAGAATAGAAGGAAAAAAACAGAGAAAAAGCGAAACAGATAAAAAAATACAGAGAATATTTAAAATGTTATTACATAAAATAAAAATGTTAGCGAATTTAAAAAAATACTTTACAAAATAATAAAATGTCAATTTAAAAAATCAAGAATTTTTGAGAAAAATATTGAATTAAAAACGTTGGTGAGTTTCAAAGAATCTTCAAGAATTTCCAAATTGTTTGCAAAATTTTAAAAATTTATGAATTTAGATAATGTTCTTGAACTTTAAAAAGTACTTGAATTTATAAAATTTTCAACCTTTTAAAAATCTAAACATTTTTTAAGAATGTTCACTAATTTTAAAAATATTCATGAATTTTAAAAACATCTCTGCTCGGCCTTGCTCGATGCTGTTGAGTGTTGATGGGTTGAATTCAGTATCTGCTTGCCTGATTGCCTTGCCTTCCTATCGTCCTTGGATCTGCAACCGTAATGTGTTAGAATAAATCCGAGGCCACCGTCGATCATCCGAGGACTAAGCAATCACACGAGCACGACACCGAGATTTGTTAACGAGGTTCACCGATATGGCTACATCCCCGGGGCCTGACTATGGGCGCTCCTCCCCATGACACCGCTACAATACCGCACCCGGTCGCCCTGGACACCGGCACATACCGCCGGCTTCCCCTGCGTTCCGGTGCTATTATTTTGGCATAGGTTATAACGTGTGTCTACCCCCGCTATATAAGAGAGGCCTAGGATACAAGTGTCCTACTTGGACACGACTCCTACTTTGTCTACACACCGTACGACTCCAAGTCCAACTGTAACCTAACTTGTACAATAATATTCGACACAACTCTAACAAACTCCACCTTGGCGAATATTCTCCACCACCTTGAATTCGTCCGTGCGTCAAACCTCCATGTACATTGGACTTGAGATACACCATGAGCACCGCTGCTACTCCCAGACTCCATGTGACTCCACCTGCAACTGTAGTCCCTTCTTGTCTTCTTCACAGTCAATACTTGAGCAAAATTAAGTTCCTCATTACTCTACGTTGTACTCCCAACTTCCGGAGAATCCGTTCAACGCCATCACACACCGATCACTGACCTGCGTGAAAGTGAACAACTCACATATTGGGTGTCACACATAAGAGTTACCTGAACTCAACATCACCGCTCCTTTCTTGACCGCCTGTCTGAAAATTGAAGGAATTTCACCGTTGCTTGTAGTCATCCCGAGTCAAATTCGCAGTTGTCTCACCACATGTATGACCACCAGAGCCCTGGCCCGTCTCCATGTCCCGTGCGTACCGCACGCCTCGCCGCTATTACCGCGTCGAGCCTCCGCTATCCCGGTCGAGTCTCAAGGGTCGCAAAACCACACCACTCAACCCCCACTGCAGAGTACCACCGATCATCACCGACCGATGACGAGTTTCATGCTTCCATCAGACCACTGGGCTCCAGTCCAAACTGCATGTCACTCGCTTTTCTCAGCTGAATAGGCTCCGACCTCGTCGACTTATGCCGTAGCCCCTCAATCCAGCTCCACCTTCAACATGACTCCATGGTGGTTGTACGTGCCACCCCGCGCCCCGTCGACTTCAAGCTCTCATGTGCACCATCTTGAATCAACCCTGCGCCATAGTCTTGTCGAAGCCACACAAACCCTCGGGGCCTGTGCCACGTGTTTCCACGTCCAGAAGTCGGTCACCATCAGCATCACGCTCCTGTGTCGTTGTCGCTGATTCCACCACCGTCTTCTGTATCAACCGACTCGCGTCGATCCGTCAGATTGTCCAGTCCGACCCAGCCGAACTTGTTCGACTGCAACGACACGCTCTAGGCTCCCAAATCATCTTCCGCGAATTTTCATCCATCACACATAATTCCATCTTAGCTGGCATGACTTCCTGCAATACCTTCAAGCATTCTTTGTTGTGCCAACTGAACTTTTCACGATGCAATAGTACACGAAGCAAACCCGTTGTCACCTCCCAGTACTAATAGCAATTTAACCAAACAATTTTGGCCTTCACGTTGTGTAGCTCCTAGGCTCAACTCCCAATGCTAATTAGTAGTATTTGCTTTGTCCTGCCTCTGCCTTCCAACGGATGCACATCAATCAATCAATGGACTTTTTTCCTTTCCGCCGAATCGATCTGCTGCCTCCGTCCGCGTCGCACACAAGGACTCGGTCCTCTTTTGGTCCAAAACAAATCCCGTAGATGCCCTTGTACACGGCCCTGGTCTGATCGCCTTGCCTACGGACACGTACACCTGAGCTCACCAGCTGCCGTTTGGCCTGTGAGTTGCCCACCTGCTGCAGCCGTGCGGCTTCCTCCACTTGGGCCGTAGCCCAGGTACGCGCCTTGCGCCTACGCAGCCAGCATCCCCGATCGACCGATCTGCTGTCTGCCAGTCCGCGCGCGTGACACACCGCCGCCGTCGATTGCATCTCTCCGAGTCCACGTGTGAATCGATTAAACCGATCTCATCAAGAACTCATCTGATCCACCGAATCGACAAAACAACCTGCTGCTGGCAGCCTGCAACTCGTCGCCGCCAAGACATCCAACCACGCGATTGCTTCTTCATCCTCTAGATCAACTCAACCGCCTCTCAGACCTTGTCAACCTTGCTCATGATACCACTTGTTAGAATAAATCCGAGGCCACCGTCGATCATCCGAGGACTAAGCAATCACACGAGCACGACACCGAGATTTGTTAACGAGGTTCACCGATATGGCTACATCCCCGGGGCCTGACTATGGGCGCTCCTCCCCATGACACCGCTACAATACCGCACCCGGTCGCCCTGGACACCGGCACATACCGCCGGCTTCCCCTGCGTTCCGGTGCTATTATTTTGGCATAGGTTACAACGTGTGTCTACCCCCGCTATATAAGAGAGGCCTAGGATACAAGTGTCCTACTTGGACACGACTCCTACTTTGTCTACACACCGTACGACTCCAAGTCCAACTGTAACCTAACTTGTACAATAATATTCGACACAACTCTAACATAATGTATTATTCATCGCAAGACACACACGCACTAGGAGAAGACTAGAAGATCGATCGTTGAATCAAGCACTTCCCTTACATAAGCAGCAGTGCAATGCAGATCTATTGCACGCCAGGTGCTGCCAGGATATGGTTGATCACATGAACCAACAGATAAACACAAAGCTAATTGGCAGCCTCCAACAAGCCAGCAGACCATAGAAAATATAAATGCAGGAGATTGATCGAATATTCTAAAGCAGCAGCAGGTCGTCAGATTGACCTGCTGCACATTAAACAGAAAACCTACCGAGAAATACAATCCAAGTCCTCACAGGTCAAGATTCAGAAAATAGAAATACTCATCTCAAGTCGCATTTCACCCAGAATGCCCATCTCTACACCTACTGAAGCCAAGATTCAGAAATTAGAAATTGTACTGTATGAAATAGGGATCATTCACTTTGTTGGTGCTGACTGATCCACATGCTGGTTAGATCGACCAGGATGCCAGGTATTTAGCCCTTGCCTGCTACGACAACACACAGGGACCGAAGAAGTGGATCAACGAGGATCAAGTGCAAGTAGTGCGTTGATGATTGGATGGAAAAAAATAATCTCTAGATCCCCAGAAGGTAAATCAAAGAAATCAGATCAATGCCATTTGCAGCTCTAGAAGACTGTGGCTTGATTTCTTAACTAGAAATCAGTTCCCTAGAAGGTAACTCGAAGAAATCAGATATACCAATACTGACAAGCGATTGAAAACGAAGATACAGCACCATCCTCACAGCGACATAGCCGTGCAGCAGTCGATCTACACTGGCTCTAGAAGACCGTGGCTTGATGTCGTTTGCGTGTTGACAACGGTACCATTTTGTGTTTTCGAACCAAAAAGGGTCAACACGCAGCAGACCAATAGTATAAACCTTACAAAAAGAATCGAGTCATTCCATGTCCCCATCAGCTAGCTGCTAGCACATCCTGGTCAAGGCAAGCCCCTGCCGCCCAAGGACTTGGTCGCAGCCGTCCTGGACAACACCTTGATTTGGCCCCTCATCCGCCCCCAGGCCCTCGTCCACCACGGGTCAAGCCTCAGCCTCCTTCTCCCCGTCCACCGCGACCCGCC